GCATACTGGCGATTTCGGCACTGACCCTTCGTGCATGACTTCAAAGTCTGAGGGGAGTCTGCATGGTGCTTGCTACGAGGTTAATACGAGGCTGTGTGTCTCTAGGGGGAGGTTTGGGGGTTGTTGCTCAGCCCCAAACCCAGTGGATCCTCTCTGTTCACTGCTGGGGACATTGCCACTGCTAGAGAGGGGACAAAATTATTTCCTTCTGAAAAATGGCCCCCTCAAAAAAAAGCCAACTTCTAGTGTTGGTGATAAAAGGAAATAGAAAGGACCCAAGAAAGTGCTGGTTCTCACCCAGGATGGTAGGCAGCCTCTAAGATGGATGCCCCCTTCATGCCCCTCTTGGTTTTGTGCCCTGTTTAATCCTCTCACCTTGAGCATGAGCTGGATCCAGTGACTTGCCTCTGCTGCTAGAACACAGTAAACATGACGGGATGTTATTTCTGAAATTAGGTTACAAAAAGGCTGCGGCTTCCCTTTGCTCACCTTTTCTGGCTTTCAAGCTAGCTTAGAGATGTCAAACTGCCCTGTGGAGACGCCCAAGCAGCAAGGAACTAACATTTCCACGCAACAGCCTGCAAGAACCTGAGCTCCTCAGTCCAACAGCCCTCAAGGAACAGAAGAATCCTGCCAACAACCTTGTAAGTAAGCTTGGAAGTGGACCTTCTGAGGCCTTCAGACAGCCATTGGCATGAGCTTGGTATTGGATTCCCGCAGTGAGCCTTTGAGCGGCTACAGCCCTGCCAATATTTTGACTGAAGCCTATGCCAAGACCCTGAGCCAGAGGCACCTAGCTAAGTCATGCCCAGGTTCCTGTCCCACAGAAACTGGGAGAGGATAAGTGTTTGTTGTTTAAGCCACTAAGTTTTGCGATAATTTGTTATGTAGCAATAGATACACTCAAATATAGAGCCCTAGGATCTGTTCAACCATATGGAAGGCTCCTGCAATAGTGCTGGCCATGTTTACAAATCAGCCTTCACAGATATTAGCACCTCTCTCTCAAAAAGCCATAGTATCTACTCCCACTTCTTTGATCTAGTTTATATTTTTATTTTCAATTTTTTGTTTGTTTGTTAATCCTCACCCAAGGATATTTTTTCATTGATTTTTAGCTAGAGTGGAAAGGAGGGATGGAGGGGGGAGGTTGGGAGAGAGAAAAACATCGTGTGAGAGAGACACATCGATTGATTGCCTCTTATCCAATCCCAACTGGAGCTGGGGATGGAACCTGCAACCCGGGTCTGGTCCGTGACTGGAATTGAACCCGTTGGTCCACAGGTCGACACTCTAACCACTGAACAAACTGGCCAGGGCATGGTTTTTATATGTATATATTTTTAATCTTCACTCGAGAATACTTTTCTATTTATCTCAGATAGAGTAGAAGGGAGGTGGGGAGGAGAGAGAGAAACATCAATGTGAGATTAACACATCGACTGGTTGCTTCCCACATGACCCCAACTGGGGCTGGGGACAAACCGAAACCAAGGTACATGCCCTTGACCGGAATCAAACCCATTACTCTTTGGTCACAAGCCAATGCTCTAACCACTGAACCAAACCAGCCAGGGCAATGGTTTATATATTTTGGTTTTTTCAGTCCTCACCCAAGGATAGTTTTCCATTTTTTGTTCAGATAGAGTGAGATGGATAGAGAGAGGGAGAGAAACATCGATCGTGAAAGGGACACATCAAGTAGCTGCCACCCGCACGACCCAACCAGGGCTGGGGACAAACTGCAACTGAGGTACGCGCCCTTAGCGGAAACTGAACCTGTGTCTCTGAACCGCAGGCCAACGCTCTAACTGCTGAGCCAAACCAGCCAGGGCAATGGTTTATATTTTTAAACAAGCAGAACATCAAACTATAGTGACAATTGCACATTCTATTTTTTCTGCTTAATATGTTGCAAGCATTTTCTCACCTTATTAAATATTCTTCAAAACATGCCCTGGCCGGTTTGGCTCAGCGGTTAGAGCATCGGCCTGCGGTCCGGAGAGACCCGGGTTCAGTTCCCGCTAAGGGCACGTAGCTCGGTTGCAGTTTGTCCCCGGCCCTGGTTGGTTGTGTGGGTGGCGACCACTCGATGTGTCCCTTTCACATCGATGTTTCTCTCTCTCTCTCTTTCTCTCTCTCCCTCCCACTCTACCTGAACAAAAAATGGAAAAATGTCCTCGGGTGAGGATGATTAAAAAATAATAATAACAAAACATTCTTTGTTCTTAGCACCTCTTCAGTCATTGTCATGAGCGTACCGACTTAGTCACTCCCCTCTCTAATTTGTTTTGAACTTCTTAAGACTTCGACCTTCTCGGGTCATGTCTGTCAGCCTGCGGCTGCCCTGGTGCAGGACCTGCCGGGAGAGAATGGGGAAGGCAGGAGGCAGGATTGCCTGCAGCCAAGTGCTCCTAGCAGCGCATCAAGTTTACACCATTTCCTAGCTAGATGACCTTGAACTTGTTAGTTAACTCCCCTGGGCCTCAGTTTCCCCTTCTGAACAGTGGGGATAATAATGCTATCTACTTCATAGAGTTATTAGAGGCATCACTGAGTTAACCCAAGTAAAACACAGCACAGTGCCTGACAAACTTAGGGTGTACAGACACAAGCCAGATCCTGGTACGCTCATCCCCCCAGCTGGTCCTGGTCGGTGTGCATTACAGCAACTCTTGCCCCAGAGTCCAGCTGCCCTCTGATAACATCTCGGCTTCCCTCCTGCCAATCTGCTCTCCCTGACCCTTTGAAAGGGGAGGGAGAGAATACTAGAATAATAGAGAACTAATCATAATGGGAGGCTAGCCATAATGATAAGAAATGTTGAACATCCTTACTCTGTTCATCATGATTGCTTTGTTCTGATTAAAGGAAGCCCATTCTGACCTGGCTGGGAGCTGTATTCGAGTTTACCTCGGAAATGCTGTCTCTATTCTCCTCACCTGAAAACTGCTCCCCACCCCCCAGCCCCCATCAAGGGAAGACTAACAACCTTGGAGTCTTGGAGGCGTGCACAGGAGACAGCCCACATTCCCCAGCTCCCATTACTTCCTCACGCCTGTAATCTGTGACTGTTTTACCCACTGACATTCCCTTTGCCTACTTCCCCAACCATTGTACCCATTGGTATTCCTCTTGCCTACTCCTCATGTGATACCCAGTATAAGTGACCAGCTATGGAGGGAGTGCAGAGCAGATTTTTGCAGGATGATCTGGCTGCGCTCCCATACTACTGGCAATATTGCAATAAATGCTCATATATGATTCATCCTGTCTCTGCTTAATTGGCTCAAATAGTGACAGGCAGCCCAGACCCATTTGTTGTCTGGTTTCACCTCCTGGTGTCCCAGCTCTGCTGCCATCCACAAGACTGTGACCATCGCTCCTACTCTTTTTTTTTTTTTTTAAATATCTTTTTTATTGATTTTATTGGAGAGAGAGAGAGAAACATCGATGTGAGAGAGAAACACTGATCAGCTGCCTCCTGCACGCCCCCTTCTGGGGATCGAGCCCACAACCGGGGCACGAGCCCTGATGGGGAATTGAACCAGGACCTCTCAGTCCATGGGATGATGCTCAACCACTGAGCCACATGGGGTAAGCGCACCTACTCTTGCTGGGTGATCCTGGGCAAGTCTATCACATCGCTGGGCTTCAGTTTCCTCATCTGAAATATGGAAGGAGGGTTAGATGAGGAGGTCCATGAGGGATTGCTCACCTCCGAGATTCAAGACTATTCCCTCTTCTTTCAAAGGTGCTTTGTTTTCAATAGCACAGAGTACAGAGCTTTAAACAACTAGCCAAAGCAAAATAAATCGGAAAACACTTTATTTACTATAACAATGTGCCGAGACTGAGGCTCAGCATCCTGGAGTGTGTCAAATACTAGCATAGTGCCTGCGTATGAGTGTGTGAACATCTGGCGAAGAGCGGGGTCTTCTCATCTCAAGCCCCTTACAGTGCTTGTCCTGTGTCTGAATGAGAACCCTCCTTGGGACAGACTGCTGCTGAGCTCTAGCCTGGTCTCTGGTCCCTATTCTTCCAGGTGCCATCAGACCAAAGCACAGTGAAGGGCACTGATCAGAGGGGCCTGGGGGCTGCACAAGGAGGGGGGTGGTACTGAAGAAGGCACAGGTCTCTCTACTGCCAGGTTCAGGTCCAGCACTTGCTTAAACATGACCTTGTGCCTGGCCCTTCCCTCCTTTCCTTCAGCCTTTTGTGCATGAAGTGAACAGCTCTCAAGTCTCCGCATCCCCACTGTGGCCTTGTGGGGCGGGAAGAGGCAGGGAGCTGTTTGGAACAGCCTGAAGAGTTTACCCTGCAGAATCTCCCCAGGTCTTGGTATGGCTATAGGTACCTCACCTGCAGAAGCCCTGGGGGAGGCTTTTCCAGGCTTCTCTCCAATTCCCACCCACAGGTCCAGTTCCTGGACCTGAAAGCACTGCTGGGGAAGAGTCCCAGGCTCCCACCGCCTGGCCTATCCCCCCGGGCTCGGACTCTGGACCACCCCTAGTAGGGCGAGGTTTCAGGTACTGCAGGGCCCTGTGGCCCTGGGAATCACAGAGCAGGAGAGAGCTAGCTCCTCTCTGCCCCCAGCCCGTAAGCCTCTTCACACCAGCCTGCAGTTCCTGGGGCTTCAGCCCCTACAGTGCGTTGGCCGGGATCCCACCAGGAGAAGGAAGGGCAGACGGTGGTGTTTTAGGTCCCAAGAAAGGCTGTGTGACCTTGGACAAGTCACTTGGCTTCTCTGAGCCTGTCTTCTCGTCTGGAAGAGTGGAGTGGTAATCTGGATGTTGCAGATGAGCATGAAGTTGAATGACACAGCGGTGGAAACAGGGCTGGTGGAGTGGTAGGCACACAGTGACGGCTTCCTTTCCGTGGGCAAATGCTGGGCCAGCTGGTCAGCCAAGAGCAGCCTCTGGTCCAATGGAGGAGGCGCTTGTGTGCCAGGGCTGCTTCCTGAGCCTGAGGAAGGGCCAGCCCAGCTCCAGGGTGCCGGGTTAGAAGTGGACTTGAGCAGAGGAGAGCAGGGGGAAGGCCAAAAGAGGGTGGGGGCTGAGCTCCACACCCAGACCCTGCTGGTCTGCTACTGAGAGAGGCTTGTGCTCCGTGTCCTGCAGACAGGCCAGCCCCAGTGCAGCCGAGGGACTGTGGGGTGAGGACATCAGCTTTCCCCTGGTGAGGTGCTCCGGCCCACAAGGCTGTGGAGGGGCAGGTTGGGCTGACGAGCTGGGCAGGAGGGCTTTGAGCTTGGAGGAAGGTCTCAACAGGCTGGAGCCAGAGGGTGAGGCAGATTGGACAGGGGTGGAGGACAGTTGGGCAGGAGGTGCAGTAATTGTAGTTGAGCCAAGGGACAGTGAAGGCAGAGGGGACAGGAGGCCAGAGGAAGCAGGAGGCTGCAGATCTGGAGAGAGTTGATGAGCCGAGGGAGAGGAGACTGGGGTCTGAAACAGGCCCACTTGCTCCTGGCAGTCATGTTGTCGGTGAGGCCCGGGGTCCAGGGGCTGCTTGGCCTGGCTCCAGAAGCCAGGGGGCAAAGGAGCCAAGCAGGAGGCACAGTCCACCAGGCACAGGCACTCATGCATGCGCAGGGCCTGACTCCACCACGCCAGCTCAGCCTGCAGGCCCCGGATCTCCTTCTGCAGAGCATGGTTGTGTTTCTCCAGTGACTCGTGCTGCTGCAGAGAGAAGCAGATTGCAGGGAGGGGGGTGTCAGCCAACACTAGGGGCTCAGCATGAACCCTATTCACCACCACCCATCACCAACCCCTCAGGGTTCTCAACTTAGGGAAAAGATACCACCGCCTTGCAAATGTCCAAGCTGGAGGCCCTTCACTACACTCTGGCCAGCTCTCCACAACCACCAACGAGTCTCCCCCGTTCTACCTCTTACGGGGGCTCAGGTGTGCCTGCTCCCCATCCTCAGTCCCCCAGCCGGTGTCTCTACCAGTCTGCGATTTCCACTCACCTAGGATTTTCACCAGTGTCCTAACTGGGGTGCCCCCCTCAAAAACCACCTCGTTTTCTTTTTTTTAAACATTTTTTTTCTTTTTCTTTTATTGATTTTACTGAGAGGGAGAGAGAGAGAGAAACATTGATGAGAGAGAACATTGACTGGCCACCTCCTGCATGCCCCTCATTGGGGATTTGGCCCACAACCTGGGCATGTGTCCTGATGGGGAATCGAACTGGCGACCTCTTGGTGCATGGGTCGACGCTCAACCAGTGAGCCACACCTGCCGGACCCACCCTGCTTTCTTGACCCGAGGAACCATTGGGCAACTGTGTCATTAACCAAACATTAGAGCCTTTCAAAGGCTCCCACAAGTCCCTGTGCCTGTGCGTGAAGATCCCAGCTCACACCTGCAGCTTTATCTCTCAACTTCTCCTGCCCCTCCCACTTCCTGTCCCTCAGATGGACTCTGCCTTCTCACATTTCCTGTCTCCTCTCCCTGGACACACCTCCAGCTCTGCCCTCCCCTGGGCTAATCCTTACATGGACTTCACGGCAACTGAGGCGTCCTACTATCCTGGACACGCCCAGGCTGCTTAATGCCCTGCCTGACCTCCCGGGCGCCCAGCGTGGCCCACTGAGGCCCTGTGGAGGAGCCCAGGTCCTGCTCTGCAGCACTGAGTTCTGTCAGCATTCCTGAGTCTGCGTGTGTCAGGTTCTGTCCTGCTGGGTTCTCAGAGCCCAGGGCGCGAGAAGTCAGCCTACACTTCTAAACAGCCGTTTATGATGAGCACAGTGGTAGAAAATGCAGAAAGAACTCATTTCCGAAGCTCAGGAGGCTGGATGACTTCCTTCGGTTCCCTCCCTCACCCCACCCCTTGTGGATACTTTTTAAAAGGAGAAGTTGTAAAACATAAAAATGTTGCTTCAGCCGTGGACTCAAAGTCCTAACAGGCATGAAAGCCAGCAGCAGCCCCATCCCAGGCTGGTCTCTGCATGTGGAAGGACATTTTTTAAATAGTATTAAGTCACCCTTCACCTAAATTTCCCAAAGGCTTCAATTCACCTCCAGAAATTCAGTCACTCATTCATTCATTCATTTGCCACCTTTAGGCTGATCAAATGTTACCTATCCGGGAGGTCATCCCTTGTTAGGTTTCCCTCACCCCACCTGCCCACTCCCTTCCCTCTTCCCTGCTTTAATTTTTTTCCCCCATAGCACTATCGTTACCATTTGACATCCCAAACACCTCACAAACCATTTATTTGTCTGCCCGGCTTCCCCATAAAAATATGAGTCCTGCCCTGGCCGATTTGGCTGAATGGTTAGAGCGTCGACCTGTAGTCCAGAGAGACCCGGGTTCGGTTCCCGCTAAGGGCATGTACCTCGGTTGCAGTTTGTCCCCGGCCCTGGTTGGGTCGTGCGGGTGGCAACCACTCAATGTGTCCCTTTCACATTGATGTTTCTCTCTTTCTCTCTTCCTCTCTCTCCTTCCCACTCTATCTGAACAAAAAAATGGAAAAATGTCCTCGGGTGAGGATAAAAAAAAAATATATATGAGTCCTGGGGAGCGTGGGCTGGGCTTTTGTCTGCTGTGTTCACAGCTGTGTATCTAATACTTAGAACTGTGCCTGTCACATGGAGACACTCAACAGGCATTTCTTGAAGAAGGGAATAAATGAGTGAGTAAATGAATAAATGAATGAATGAATCAATGGAACCCCATCCTGGCATCAGTCCTTACTCTCATGTAAACTACAGGGTGTTGCTCTCTCACACCTGCGCCAACACAATTTCATTTGCCTGCAATGCCTTTTTTTACTTTCATCTGCTTGGAAAACTCCTATTCATCCTTCAAGACCAGCTCAGACTTCATCTCTATATCACCTTGGTGCTACTGCCTGTTTTTGCCCCCTTTGTGTTTCTAGAGCATTTTATTCTGGCTGTATTATTCGCTCCACAGGGAATTACTGAGTCCCTTCCATTTGTCAGGCACTGTTCCAGGTGACAGGGAAACGGCAGGGAACAGAGGGTTATCGGCCCTCATATTGCTTACAGTCTGGCAAGGGAGACAAGCAATGAACAACATCTAAGGAGGTCAGTGCTGACAAGAAAAATAAACCAGAGTAACAAGGAAAGATCTCTTTAGCTCAGATGGTTTAGGAAGGCCCTTCTGAGGCGGTGACATTGCAACCAAACAACTGGAAAGAAGTGAGGATCTAGCTGGACTGCTGTCGGAGGGTAGAGGGAACAACAAAAGCAGAGCCCCCAAGGCTGGGTGTGCTTGTCCAGACAAGGACCAGGGAGAACAGGACTGGGATGTTAGGAGAGGAGGGTGGCTGGGTGGGGGTGGCGTTACAGAGAGTGTAGGGCCTTTGGGTACAGAGCGCAGTGGGTTTTACTCATCCCTAGAAGGACTAAAGTGCATGCAGCCTTTCTTCTGAAGGGCCAGGCCCTGAGCCCAGCTCATAATAGTCCCCCTGGGAAGGGACTGATGGTGTCCTTCCTCTCTGCACAGAGGAGATGGGACTCTCCAAGGGTAGGTTACCATGCAAGATCAAAGGACCATTCAAGGCCAAGAGGCCAGTGCAGGTGCCGCCCCCTCCTGCCCCACTGGGCTCCTCTGCCTCCTTTAGTCTCCACAAGTGTCCTGCCGGTGGGCAGGCATCCTTGTCCCGTTTTTAATCACAGTGCAGCTTCTGGCCTCCGGAGGTGGGCCCTGGGCGAGGGTGGCCAGGGATCTGCCTTGTAAGAGCCTCAGCTGGTTGCTGCGCTGGGTTCTCCCGTTTCCCCTCACTTGCTGTCTCCTCTCCCTGCACTGACTGGGGCACCTAGAGGGCAGGGTAGACTGTGGGCACACCTCTTGCCCCTAGAGCCCCGTGTGTATCTGAAACCCAGTTTGCACTCAGCACCCAGGAATTTCCAAATCTCAGGGCAGAGCCCTTCCCTCCTCCCAAACTCAGCACCAGGGAACACACCGCAGGGTAGGGGTCTGCTCATAGGTGGCTGGAGAAGAGGCAGCTGGGTCAGGTGGGTGCAGGCAGGGTGGGGAGGGCAGAGTCCCCCACCTGGTGCAGGGCATCTGCCTTGTCCGTGTGCTTCTTCCGGCTGCGCTGGGCAGATGCCCGGTTCTTCTGTTTCTTCTTCAGCTGCCTCTGATGCCCCTCAGGGTCCTGCAGGGCACAAGCAAAGGGTTCAGGTCCTGGCAACGGCTTGTGCCCTGGCCTTCCATAAAGCCATGCCCTTCCCATGTCAAGTCCCCAAAGGTCCCCTTTCTCCCAGAGGCCACCTGTCTCCCTTGGAGTCCACACACCCCATCGCAGGCATGGCACACCTCGTTGAAATGCCAGCCATACTCAATGCCAATGTCCTGCTCACATCACACATTGGGGGAGGACAAAGGGAGCTGGGAGGCTGGGATTCGAACCTAGACAGACCTGACCTCACACCCACACTTTCTTTATCGGCTTTGTCGCTCTGGGTAAGTCACTCACTTCTCTGAATCAGCCTTATCTTCAATGTCACAGTGTCTTCCTCACAGGCCATAAAGCAGGCAGCCCAGGGCCAGCCCAGAGCCGGAGTTAGTAACGGTCAGCCTCCCATAGCTCTTATTTCCACAGTCAAGGTGGTTGCTTCCCTAGCGGTGAGCTCCGTCGGGGGGGGGGGGGGGGGGGGTGCTGACTCGGCTGCATGAGGCCATGCTCAACTCAGCCCCGAAGGTGATATTCATCCACTCAACACGTATTTATTGAGCACCTGCTGTGTGTCAGGCACTGAGCTAGGGGGACACAGCAGTGAACAAAACAGGCAAAACTCCTGCCCTCGAGTTGCTCCATTCGAGCGGGGCAGCAGCCTAGAACGAAGGCATGAAGTCTGTCTGATGAAAGAGTGGGCTCAAAGGTGGACAGCTGTGACCCTGCCCTGCCGGACCCCAGACCGAAGGGTCCCTGATGCTTAGACGAACTATTTAACCTAAATGCCCAGAGTTTTGGAAGGTCAGGCAGAAAGAATGTTGGAGGCCCCACAGCCCTACCTCCCTTCACACAGGTCCCTCTGGAAGGTGTGTCCTGATTGAAGGGAGCTCAGGGGAGACCCTGGCCTCCCTGGCTGAGGACACTATGCTCCTAAGTCCGTGACCACAGCAGGCCCATTCCAGGTGCTGGGGTGGCGGGGGGGGGGGGGGTGTGTGTGTGCAAGAACCTGAGATCAGGAAAAGACCGCAGTGAGAGAAGGGGGTGGCCTCTGGGTCCTGGGAGAGAGGCAGGGTCTCCAAGGGGAGTCGTGCTGGAGAATGGGGAGGGAAGAGGGCGGCTACCCTAAGGGCCGTGAGGGGAGAGCAGGTGGGTTAGGAGAGCAGTATTCAGAGGCCACGTTCTAAGCTGGAGGCTGGGTCTGCAACATGAGCGCTGGAAAGCCATTATTCCAATCCCCAAGGAAACTGAAGCCCAGAGAGGGCGGGGTGGGCAGGGGTCACGGACGGTCACACAGCCCATGTCTGCAGAGCTGGGAAGAGGAGCTCTGACCACATTCTCCCCACCCAGGCATAGGGACCCTGGGGCATATGTCCCCTCTCCTCCCCTCTCCCTGGCTCCCTGTACTCACCATCCCTGTCAGCAGCCCTTCACCCCCGCAGAGGCGCATGGCTTGGGCAGTGGAGCAAATGCTCACATCTGGTGCAGGGTGTCCCTCGGCTGCTGTGGCCTCTCAGTGCCCTCTGGGGACCCAAGGAAGTGATGACTCTTTAAATCCTCAGTGACCACTCCGCCCCTAGCAAGACAAGTTTCAGTTTCTTCTAAAGCCACAGGCTGCTCAGAATCCCTGGCTCGGGTTGGCTCACGTGGCTGGAATTTCCTGACACGAACTGGCCTTCCGGTTGGGCCACTTCTCTGGGAGGAGGACAGTGGAGGGTGGCCAGAGGAGGGAGATCAAAGCCCAGGTGTGGGGAGGGTGTTCTGGGGGAGGGCGGGCAGGCTGCCAGGGACAGAGTCCAGAGAAGACGACGGGACCGAAGGCTCACAGGGGACATGGAGAGCCTCTGGGCTCTGGAGCAGGAGCAGTGTGAGTGTACAGCCACCTCCGGCACAGCCCACCTCCGCACACCGGAGCTGTGCAGCTTTGAGAAGGTGTCATCCTCTCCGAGCCTTTGTTTCCCCAACTGTAAAGGGCGTTAGGTGGATGATACAAATATCCACTCACAGTCTTGATGTAGGAACCACGTGAAATAATACAACCACCCAAGACCTTCTGGGGCCAATGTTGAGGCAAAGATAATCAATGGCCCTGAAATAGGAGAACAGGTGGATAAGGTAGTGTGTTCTCATCCAACAGACCGTGCAGAGTGACGTCTAGCAGGCAGAAGCACAGCTTTCAAGCTATGTGACGCGGGGCTGTGACTTCACTCGTGTGACTGTTGTCGAATCTGTAAAATGGGGAGAAAAATCACTTTGTCGTGAAGATTAAATGAGTTAAGCCAGGTAAGGCACCTAAAACCGTGCCTGGTGCAAAGTAAGGGCTCAGCAGATATTCACAATTATGAGCCGGTGGGAGATTCAAAGCTGCACGGATCATCACGCCTGTAATCGTGTGACAGGAACAAGCAGCAACAAGATTCGAACAACACAATGTCGGTTAATAATATGTAACTGTAAATATGTAATAAAAGTATAAAAATATGCATGGGAATGAGAATTCAGAAAGATGGGCTGAGGGGGACATAGGAACTTCAGATGTGTCTGTGGCGTTTTGCTGCTTAAACTGTGGGAACAGTTCCGTGTGATAATATCATCTACATTTTCAAGGTATACCTGAAATGTTTTATAATAAAAAAAAAAAATGCTGCTCTGGCTGGTTTGGCTCAGCGGTTGGAGCATCAGCCCTCGGACTGAAGGGTCTTGGGTTTGATTTCCGGTTGAGGGCACATACCTGGGATGTAGGTTTGATCCTCAGCCCTGGTCAGGGACGTGGGGGAGGCAACCAATCAATATGTCTCTCTCACTTCAATGTTTCTCTCTCTTTCTCCCTCTCTCCCTCCCTCTCTTTCCCTTTATTTGAAAATCAATGGGAAAATATTCTCAGGTAAGGATTAACAACAACAACCAAAAATGCTATTAACAAGCCCTGAAGCCCCAGGCAAACCTGCATAGTTGTTGTATTTCCAACTATGCTTGGAAGGGACATCTGTTTGGGGGGTGGAGGAGCCAGTAACTCCTGTCCCGGAACTGCATGGGCAATGCATTCTTGTGGTCTGGTTACTAGGGCATCTGGGGGTTGTGCCTGAGTCCTGAGGGCTCAAGATTGATGATGTGGGATCAAAAGAATGGCAAATACCATGGATTTGGTCTTCTGGTGATGGTGTCCTGGGGTACTGTGCTGAGTGTACAGCAGCTTCTGATCTTCTTTAAAAAGAGCACTGCAATTGATTAACACTGTCTGCCTGGCAATGATTGATTAGTGATGTCTGTCATGAACAGCGCATTGAGAGTAATAGTTCCTTGCTCTCCTAGACCTGGACATGACACCAGTCTGGGCTTTAGAGTTAGTCAGCAGACGACTCTGACAGCTGGCTCTCTACTCACCGGGTCTATCGCTTTGCACCTCAGTGTTCTCATATATATGCTGGGCCTAACAAAGAAGTCACACCTATTTTACAAATTTGTTTTGAAGATGGAAAGAAGGAAATGAGAAGAGCTCTTTGCATATTGTATAGTACTATTCAGCTGGAATTTATTCCCGTTCCTGAGATTTGTGGGAATGCAAGATTAATGCAGGCTCGTAATTTAAAATGACTGGGCAGGCCTGGTTGGTTGTAGCTCAGGGCATTGAGCATTGTCCCATAGACTGAACGGTCCCGGTTCAATTCCCAGTCAGGGCACATGCCTGGGTTTTGGGTTCGATCCCTAGTATCAATGCATCTCTCTCACATTGATGTTTCTATCTCTCTTTCCCTTCCTCTCTCTCTAAAAAATCAATTAAAACATATTTTTTTTAAAAAGATACAAAAGGAAAGTCTTTAAAAAATTAAATAAATAAAATGACTGATTGGCCCTGGCCAGTGTGGCTCAGTTGGTTGGGCATCTTCCCTTGCACCAAAAGGTTTCTGGTTCGATTCCTGGTCAGGGCACATGCCGGGGTTGTGGGCTGATCCCCGGTGCGGGGCACACAGGGGCGGTGGATCAGTGTTCCATTCTCACATTAATGTTTCCTTTTCTTGCTTCCTCTCTCTCTAAAAGTCAATACAAATGTTTAAAATAAAATGACTGGGTGGATGGGATTGGGCATGACAGCCGGCCCTGACACTGCCTGCTTGTGAGGGGCTGGGAGCAGAGGCTGAAGTGGGGCACCCCATGCAGAGACTGCCCTGATTTCTCAGAACTATTTTTGTTTCCCAGAAACCAGGAGGGCTGGGCGTCTTTCCTGAGACGGGCACCTAAGGGGCTCATTAACCCAGTCCACAGAAGGATCCAGGGAGCCACATGCATGATGTAACAAAGGAAAAACATCTCAGGGTGGGGAGGGCAGCGGCTAGAGCCCAAGTGTCCCCACCCCAGCCTATAGCTCCAGCCCTGAACCCCAGTCTTCCCCTCTCCAGACCCCAGCTCTGGGGGGAAACTGTCAGCAAGTGTGCCTGCGGCCCCTTCCAGCAGGCCACAACCCTGGAGGAAAACCAGAGAAGGCAGTGTTTATGGCCTGATATCACTGAGGAGTGGCAGGGAGGGATGGACACGGAGTGGGTAATGTTTAACCATGAATGGCTATGCAAGCTTCCCCACAGAGGTGGACCCCCTCCCAGGCTGGCAGAGCAGGCTTCAGGGCCATCCAGTCCAACCTCTCACTTAAAAGGTAAAGAAATTAGTGCCTGAGAGGCAAGGTTGCTGGGTGGGAGAGGGCAGAGCTGGAGGGAGGACACGCCTCCCCTTCTCCCCCAGCCCCAGTCCTCCCTCTTTGGACCAGGTGTGTGGAGGGGCCTGCAACCTCGGTAGGTGAAGGCTTGGAGACCTCCCAAACCAGGGCTACAGAGTAAGCTCCTGGGCAGCAGGATCACTGTCTTACTCTCTGAAGCATAACAGGTGCTCAGTTAATGAATGAATACATGAGCAAAAGTCCAGCAGGCAGCTTGACATCTGGGAACCCCAAAAGCTTCCTGGATGAGTAAAGAAACTTCTGTCTCAACTCATTCCCACAGGACCTGCCCTGGGTTTCTGGGAGACTCTCCCTAACCAACCTCCTCATTTTACCATTGAGGAAACTGAGGCACAGGGAGGGGACAGTCACATGGCTGGTTTGGGAGAAGTTAGGATGCATTGATGCTTCGTCCCAATTCCTTCCCACACCTCCTGGAACTGGAGAGACTCTGGGGTTGCCAGCTGCCCAGGGATGAGGACCTTCTTTCTAGGTTTCCTCACCATGTACACCCCTCACTTGAGGCCTGGTCTCTTCAGGGCATCTCAAAGGAGCTTCCAACGCTGGGTAGCAGAGGAAGAAGGCAGAGGCTGCTGGTGAGGCTGACTTCCCTATCTGCTCTGCTTTGGGCTGGCTACCTCCTCAGGCAACTGTGGATGGGCCTTGTGGGAACTAAGCCTCAGCTGGGACGAGTTTACAACCCAGAGGGCATACAGACTGGCAGGGCAGGAGGTGCACTTCCTGTTGGGGAGATTAGAGAAGGCTTTCCAGAGAAGCAGGGGACTCCATCTCTGGCCTGGAACTTGATCCTGGAAAAATCACTTAACTAACCTCTTTATGCCTCATCTGTAAAATGGGGATAATAATATAAGGATTTGATGAGTAATGTGCGTAAAGGGCTTAGAACAGTCCCTGGCACACAGGAAACCACACAAACATCTATTAAACTTTTAACAAAGGCACTCAACAAAAACCTGATGAAATTTTCGTTCACACAATAGGTTTGTGTTTTACTCATTATTATTATTAAGTTTAAGAAGACAAATTGTGGAATGCAAGAACAGGGAGGAGATTTTTTTCTAATTAAATACCTTTGTAATGAAAAACAAAGTTAATGACTGTGTCCACGTGTAAGACGTAGCACCTAATACTTGACGGGAATTGCTCAACATTTCTCAGGCTTACAAAGAAGTCTCAATAAGAAAGAGAAATCAGGGTTCTCTGGATTCTTAGTTTTAAGAATGATCTAACTCAAGTTTGAGTCACTGACAAGTCTAGAGAGTATTCCAGCTTTAGGCATGGCTGAACCATGATGCCCAAACAATGTCCCAAGAGGTCAGCGTCTCGCCCTCTCTGCTCTGCTTTGGGCTGGCTACCTCCTCAGGCAGGGACCACTCATGGTAGTAAGCTAGCCACCAGAAACGCCAGCTTAGCTGCCCCAGGATGGGGGTGCATCTCTCTACCCCTCACTACTTTCCCAGTAGCTCCAACAAAGGTCTCAGGCCTGGCCTTCCTTGGTCTCACTTGAGTCCTGTGGCTAATTCCTGACATGAGTCACTGTGGCAAGGAGAGAGAGGCAAGGCCAGGTCCTAGGCATTTCCTGGAGCCCCGGGGGGTAAGGTCAGCGCCTTTTTAACCACGGGGACCAGGGATGAGGAAGGGGCAACTCCCAAAGGACATCAGGGTGCTACTGGCCAGAGCAGAGGGGAAGATGCTGGGCTACCACTACCACGTCAGGTTCAGACAGATGTAAGCTGCTGCTCAGAGGTACATCCCTGGCCGAGTCACATCCCCAGGTAGGGCAAACTCGATGCCCCCGTGTCTCT